AGTGCAATTTATTTTTCAATTTTTAAAAAGGACTGAGGAGAACTGGCCCTGGCCAAAGTACTGGTTCCCATTGGATTCTTATCCCAGCAAGTACTGCTGGTTGCATGTGTTCCTTCAGTACGGACTCAGTCACTGCTGGGATTTCCCTTTGGTTTGCCACATATTTCTGGCATTAGCATCTCAGGACAGAGTCATACAGCATCTCAGGACAACACTGAAGATTTCAGCAAGGTGACAATGAGTATCTTTTTCTCATCCTGCCCTGAAACTTGCTTTTGACTACCTAGAGTACATGGGTTCCAAAGAGCTGGACTTATTTTGGGTTTTTTACTGGTTTCTCTTTGAGTTCACACAGGAGGGGCATGGAAATTTTAAAGTACTGCTATATGCAGGTTGATTTCTCCTGAGATTGTTGAACAGAGAATATCTGGACACGAAGGGAAGATGGGTTCTTTCTCTGGATGTTATGTTAGCTACCAAAGAGGTTATCGATGTTTCTCTTTCACAAGCCAGGAATGGCAAGGGTCAAAATCACATTTTACATCAAGACAACTTCAGTGACCTGAACTTCCTGATAAATAAACATTGTCCAAGAATGTAGGCAACCTTTTGGTCACTGCACATCTGGAAGTTGTTTGAGAAAGTTCCCCAAGAACACAAGAGAATTGTTTGCAGCATTCTGTGCAGGGTTCTGCTGTAAGTGCTGAAGCTTTGGACATGGTTAAAGACATTTAATATCACAAGCAGCGATGTAATGTGTTATTTGGTGCTTTCTATGGACAGTTTCTCTGAGCTGCTATACAGCTGCACAGGTTTTGAGGAACTCGTTCCTTTCCATCTGTTCTTTCATTTCTTTGTGAAGAGCTTCAGTTTCTGCATCTGTTTTGTCAGTGTGGCACAACATGTGAAAAAGCTGAAAGTCCCAAGAAGAGAGAAGAGGCTATTTGGAAACTGATGTGTTAGTGGTCAAAGCTACCACACAGTGATGGTTCTGAACACTGTTTCCTGTGATGAGAGTGCTTTGGGTGCATGTGAAGCCAGGATGTAGTTTCAATTTAATTTCTTGTTCTGGGTGTTCGGAGCTGACTTCATCTCCACTCCCAGCCCAGAGCCTTTCCGTGTCTTCAGAGTATCAAGTGTCTCAGTGACACAAAAAGATAGAACTGGGGTTAAAATGAGATGCTTCATTAAAATAGAAAACAAAGCACTACTGAAACATGATTATGATAGCTTTGGCTCTGCGGGCCTGACTGTAACAGCATGTTCATACTGAATGTCACTTTCTTACCTAACACCCCATTATTTTCAGTGTTAGAATTAAAGCAGTTTACACCCACATCAATCTCAGTCAGTGTGAATGTAGGTAATTACAACTCTAAAAGCAGGGAAGAGTCAATTCTAATAGTCAGAAAATAAAAAAGCAGTGTTTCCAGTAATCTGATGATCATTAGGTATTGCTAGATTCCAGCAATGTGCCTAAATTAAAAAGGACAGGTTTTTCAGGCCTTATACTTAAAAATTAGCACTTAATCTAAAATGTGTGTGGTGTCCTTTCCTGGCTCAGTTTCTTATTGCCTGGATTTGGCTCTCAAGACACATCAGATGGAAGAAGTATTATGCACAGAGACTTGGGCAGATTTTTAACTTAGTCCTACAAACTGATCACAGTGAAGTAACACTGTATGACAACATAATGCACATATGCATGTTGTACATATACACAACGCTGTCTTAGGGCAACATAAATATAGCCATGCAAAAACTGATATAGGATTCCCTTTTACAACACAATACATTGAGTGCATAGTTAATAGCAATTAACATGGCTTTTATGCAAAAAAAAAAACCAACCAAACAAACAAAAACCTTTCTGGCTTCTTTGTTTGGTTAGAATCTGCTTAAAAGAATTCAGCTGCAGATACACGCTTAGATTGTCAGTGCTGTTCATCTTTATCAGGGATTTTAGAGCAGTAAGATATTACGGCTGAAAAAGTCTGTGGATGAATAAAGACTGTGAAGAGTTGAAAGTCAACATACAGTCCTCAGAGACTCAGCTACAACAAGAGCACAATCATGTGCAATCTTGGCTCATTTAAAAAAGTTGTCTTTACTCAAATGTAAGTACACATGCAGAATGAAGAAATGTAAACCATACATGAAACAAGGTAAGGTAATGCCTTGGGAAAAAATCTAGGCATCATGAACAACTCTACAGTTGTGTAAAGACAATGATGTGACAGAAGAATCTGATGCATAATGGTAACCCTAAATTCTTGGAGTTTTACCCTTAAGGAATCTTCATATTGTTACAGAGGTTTTGAATAAAAGCTTTTTGCTAATGGGCCTTAGTTTGATATTCAGGTGTCTGCACTTCCAAAACAGGAGGAGGGATGACAATTGCAGAAAATACTCAAACTCCCTGGATGCAATCAGCAGAGATATGGCCAGATGAAGAATGACTTGTAATTTTCATCACTGCATGTGGCAGACAAGCACTTACTGTGTAGAATTCCAATGCCAGATTTTTTACAATGCTGGAAAAGTTAGAAAAATTACAAAAATAGCTACAAATGAATTGCTGGATGAAAGAAAAATATGCTTTGAGATAAGATTAAAAAGCTTGAGTCTTTAAAGTTATCAAAAAGATATCTGAGATTTTGGTTCAGTTCAGTGGTATCAATACCTTATGGGCAGAAAACAGTGGTTATAAAAAGGGTTTTGATCTAGAAAGCAAAGGTAGAAATAAAAGTGATAGAATCTGAAGCCTGATGAACTTAGAAAACATGAGATGCAGATTTTAACAGTGAGCAAACTTAACTAAACAGACTCTGTAGTGGTACATTCTTTCTCTCATCTTCAAACAAGTGGGACGTCTTTCTGGAAGATGACTTTTAGCCAAAATGATATTTTAGTAAATCTCTAGCTGTCGGGCTTAATGCAGGGGCAAGTATTTTAAATTTGATGTCTTGTAAAAAGTAGGACAACAAACAGAGAATGTCATCATTGAATTAGAAGGGATATAAAGAAGTTGTGTGGTCCATCCCTATGTGCAGGGTAAGAACAACTGTACTAGAACTTATTCATGCCGTAAGTTTATCCTACTTCTTTAACACGGACCTCAAGCCATGGAAATTCCACCTTCACTGTTAGAAAGTGCCTCCTAACAAATGTTCCTGGCCTTTAAAGACATTACTTCTTGCCTTCTCCACCATGGAAGTGAAGAAAAAGGAAAAAAAATATCCCTTTCTTTTTTGCCAGAGACTTAATTATTCATTCTGTTCCCTTCAGTCTTACCATCTTTTCCTAAACAGCCACCATTTGTTCAATATCTCCAGGAATTCATGTTTTCTATACCTCTAATCATTCCCACTCTTCTTTGGGCTTTCTCCAGCTGACACCATGAATCCTGCTGTAGGCTCCTCAGTACTAAGTGAAAGGATTCTTTCACTTGACTTTTGGGCTATACTTTTGAACTAAATGATAAAAAGAGATGTGAAAAAAAAAGGTATGTGATACCATACAACTTTAATCTTGGCATATCTCAAATGGTAAGGACCTGCTTTTGCAAAATGAATGTTCTTTAACCAAACCACCAAATAATTCACCTGTGGAATCAGCAGCATTGAGGCTTTTAGCACTTTGCTGTTAAATAATGTAGGAACTTAACAGGTTTCAAATAAACTGTTGTTGACACATATGTTGACAAGTTGCTCCAAGCAGCCAAGAAAGCCCAACTTATCCAGACATTTTTGTGTTCTTTGTTAGTAAGCAGAAAAACTGTCAAGGCTTAATAATTTCACTTTCATTTCTGTGTGACACGAGAGGTCCTTCTAATAGCTATGGATTCCCCTTCTCCTGCCTATCCCAAGGACAGAATTTCAGACTCCCAAGCAGCTAAAGAAAGCTCTTCAGCAGTTTTTGTAACTTTCAGTCTTGATATGAAACATTACTAAATATATATATATTTTTAATCATATTTTTTTCCAACGCGGTGAAAGTGTTTTTTTCTTCTTGGCCAAATTTTAATCTCCATTATAGAGGTGTGAACTTGAAGAAAACTTCTAGAAGACAAGGAGGTTCTTTTTGATTGTAATTGGTTTTAACTGAACTGTGAATTTCCTTTTTCCCTCTATCTCCTTTTCCTTAGATTTGGTTCAACATCCCTCCATACAGCTGGGGACAATTCTTTCTGGGTAGCTTTTAATCCACTCATGATACTTGAAACAAAATTCTAGGTTTAACATTGTGGCATCCTAACAGTGATTTCATTGGGTTGTGTTGAATAACTTCTCTCAACATGAACTCTCAAAGCAGTGGTTACTATGGTTTGGTTGTGGCTTGTACACAGAGCACGAATTCAGTGCAGCACACATGCACACCAGCCCTCTCACATAATTATGGCTTCTGTGCCTGGGGCACTACATCATCTTGTTTTTAAGGCTGCACCTGTTTGCTGAGGGTGTAGCTTCTGCACATCTTCTCAAACTGCCACTTTTCTAGTATGGGCTTGCTAGAAAATTAAGTCCAGCCTTTTACAACTTACATTACAAATGTATTTGAAGACGTACAGAGACTGTACACCTCTTAATCAATGTCAAAATATCTTTTCATCTCCCATCCCTTCCCTTGAAACTCTGTCTCCAAGCAAGGAAAACTCCAGCAAGACTGCATCAGTGCTCGTGTGAAACTCTGCAGCTGGTCTTTTCAAGCTAATTGTAGAATTAAATGATCATTTAGTTCTAAAGCACAAGAATTTATATATTGGATTAACTGATGATTTTGTGTCTTGTTCATGTCTTGGCAAAGACATCCTTCTAGGCAGAACCTCTCTACTCTGATAAGATAAGGCACCAAATATATCTAAGAAGCAGGCTCAACAAAATATGTGTGCTCTGGGGCATGTGCAGTACTGATATTTTATCCTAATACTTCATGTAAGCAGTGAGGTTCCTTCCTTAGCTGTTTGCTTGATAAATTCAGTCTGTTCTGCTTTTTTTCAGGCCCTAAAAATGAAGGTTTGAAACAGATAGGACCTTCCTCAGCAGCACTCTCCCCACCTGTACCTCCACCACACTCTGCTACGCAGTCACCACCTCCTCCACCAGCCTCTCACCCATCCCTGCAGCCCCCAGCAGCTCCAAGCCTGCCGCCCAGAAACATCAAGCCCAGCTCTGAAGCAATGTAAGTGAACAGAAACCCCAAGCTCTTTATTTTTTTACCTTTTTCTGCCTATTACTTTGCTCATGCAGCAGCAAATTAAGGCTGCAGGTGTCCCAGGTTTCCAGGAGAGTGAGGTCTCACACCACCTTCCTTATCCTACTCTGTCCCTGGCCTGTTTGGAATTGGATTTTAGTAGTTTGAACTCTCCATCTCTTCAGTTGTTTCCCTAAATTGTCTTATCTGAAACAACACTTTTTTCTGCCCAGTCGGTAAGGGGAAGGGAGAGGGAACAGACACTCTGCTGGGTTTTCAGTTGGGAAGGGTTCAAAGACTGGTAGAAAATCAGTTGCATCAGTAACTGAAGCTTTCCCCTGCATTTTTCTGGGGAAAGAGGGCTAGGAGGGTCAGGTCTATCAGTCAATGTCCCAGGAAGCAGCTTTGCAAGCTGGAGGTACTGTGCTCAGTGCTGGTTGTGAAACTGCACCAGAAGCCACGTCAGGACCTCTTGTGATAACACTGAGAAGCCTCTGTGGCACGTGGGGCTCCTTTCTTTACCCTTCAAAGAGCTGCGTACAAAAGGAGAACCTCCCAGTGTCAAAGAGTTAAAAACAATTTGGTCTAGTGTCAAAACTGATCTGAAAAAAGCTGAACCTGAACCAGGATCTGCGCTCTGACCAGCAGTTACTGCAAATCGCAGCAACGGACAGAGAGGGAGAATATATTGGGCATTAGAGAGGTGTGTGTCAGCACGCATACTGTATTTTGGTACAGATGGTGTCACAGCATCAGTCTAGCGCTGCTGCTGCTGTGCTCGAGGCTGTGGGAAACATCCCCCAGCCCTGCCAGGGGTCGCCCAGGAACCTGCCATTACTACCCCTCCAGTGGCCAGAGCACTGGGTGCCAGCAGCCGCTCCGCGGTCCCTGCAGAAGCCCTCCTGGGTACCCTCCTTGCCAAATGCTTGAGAGCCAAGCGTGTCCTCTTGCCTTTAGGGGCCTGAAAAATTTGCCTCCAGATTGGCCTTCTGCTCTCCCCTTCCTGTGTGCCCTCTGAGCTCTCCTCTCTGCTGAAAATGTGTGCCTCGGTGATGACGTGTTGTCTTTCACTCTGTCTTGGTGCTTTTTCCATCAAGCCAATTCTAAATGATCACTTTCTGCTTTCAAGTCCATTCTTTGATTACACCTTTTTGATGTAATTTCATCTCCTTTCAACTATGACAAGGTATTATAAAGTTAGAAGTCCCTGATGTTATTATTAGTTATATTCTCAATTTCTTACTTCTTTTTTAAATCTAACAGCATCAGAGACCCTCTTGTCCCTTGTTTAGACTTTAAGCTCTATGAGTCAGGGAGCAAGCCTTAGAGTTATGTTTAACATTGTGCCAAAGTCTGGCGTTCTTCTTGTGCATTGTGTAAGAAGCCTGCACCTGCAAAGATGGTTAAAAAGCCCAACAGACTCTTTCCATTGCCTCCGCCCATCTGCCCATTACATTTTTCAGACCACACTCATCTTCGTGGTGTCTGAGTGCCTTTGGCTCATTTTCTCCTTTTATAATCAGGATCAAGGTGTCCCCCTGTGAAAAACTGAGTCGCAGTCAGGAAGCACAATTCAGGGAATCTCGTGAGCACACAGGGCTCAGCAGACTGTCCAGCCACTGTATAAAATAGCAGAGAAAAGCACTAGAACAATGCTGAATGAAAACGCAATCATAAAACCTCCTTCATCGGTTTCACATGTCCATTTTTTCATATTTACAGAAGTCCAGACAATGAAGAAAATTATGATGATGTTGCATTTGTTTCACAGGGTAAGATGCATACATTTTAATTAATGGCAGCTATATGAAGCTGTAAGCACACTGTATTTATAAGATAAGCAAAAGCATATTGTATTCATGAGTGAGTGACTTGTGTAACTAATTATGCTGGTTCTGCAGTTTTATGGATGAGGACGGTTGTCTCCTAACACTAACTGTTCTATAATTAATATGACAGACTCTCAGGAACTGCTTTACATATCTCGCCTCTCTTTTTTTTTTTTTTTTTTTTTTTTTTGAGTTAGAAATGTGCTGGGACTGTGAATTACCAGATTTTCAAGCCTGAATCAAAGTGAATGCTCTCTTTCTGAGTTAATGTTGTGTGCTCTGGTGAAGCAGGCGTTGTTTTATACCTGATTAACAAAAAAATTGTTGACTGTGCTTTTAACGTCGCTCTATGGTCTGCCTTCAAGAAGAGGCAGGGAGTCGCTTGCTGTACCAGAGCAGCCAGAGAAGCAGATTGTGACACGAAGAATTTCAGTCTGCCTTCCGATCCCTCCTCGGGAGGACTCACTCTGTGCTAGGCGCAGTACGCGTTGCCGAGCGTGCTAGCCATCCCTGCCGTACAGCAACGTGGGCTGCAGAGCTGAATCTGAGCCTGAGCTCTTTTCTTACCTAACCACCAGCAGAGTAAGGAGGAAGCAGGAGATTCACAGTTTCTTCTCCTGCAGCCCAAGGTAGAGGCTGGCTTAGCAAAAGAGCCTTTGGCCTCCTTCTTCAGCTATTGGGCTGGTGCAAGCAAGTTCTTTGAGGTCTGTTAGGATTAGATTTTTAGTAACGACTTTCTTGTAAGAATAGGCATTTTTGTGAACAAATAGCATAGGTGAGTTCATCAATGTCACAAACAAATCTTTAAAACAAATTTCCTACTTTTAAAAATACATGGTGAACATATGCTATTTTGTAGATATTTCTACTTTACAGCGTACTACAAAAGCAACGTGGAAAAACTCAGATTTTTGCATTCATACTCTCGTTAAAAGCCAGGAGCCTGCACATATTTCTAGTTAATAGCAATGGTATTAGTAGCAGTTTGTAAACAGTGAACACTAGAATGAATTGTTTTCTGTACGGCAAAAAATAAATACTCTGTTTTTATTTTCTGTCATACAGGTCATGGAAATGCAGAGGGGGTAAGTGCCATCCTCCATGATAAACCTATCCTTTCCAGCCCAAACTCACAAATTCAGTAAAACTCCTTCAACGCATTAGAAAATTAATTGCAGAATGAATCCTGTAGATTGACAGTAAATTGTAGAAGCACTTACCTATTGTGAAGGACAGAAGTAAAACCAGGCAAGCAGAACAAACTGGAACTAATCATCAAAGCTAGCTAGACACTAGAAATATATTTTAAAAAAAGCAAAACACCCCTTCTATTTCCACTGACATTTCACTTCACTGAAATTTCCAGAAAGAAGGGCCCTGTTCTATTCTAGTGATAAACCACTTGTTTCAGTTAAGCACAGGTTTGTATTGTGTCTGTAAGTACCTGGCTGTATTAGGACTAAAACCATCTCTGATCTGAGTCCCATTTAGATACCTAGCATTCCAGCTTAACTACTGCTAACCCTGGCACCTTCATCGTGCCATGACAGTCAGACAAAGCTTTCCAGGCCTAGCATTGCAATTAAACATCCACTTGGGATTAAGCAATATGTGCTAGTGTGATTGTAACAATCCAGGGTTTGATAGTTGTGGTATTGTAAAAACAAAGTAAGAAAAAAAGAACAGTGGGTTTGAATAATGTAGTGACTTGGCTTGGTAAGATTAAATTAATTTCTATTTACATTTTGCTGTAAATGTTTGTATATAGTTTATATGAAGCTTACGTAGCAGGTCTGTTTTCTTCATGACTTTCCAAATGTATCTAGGCCATTGAAAACTAAATTTTTCTTACAGGGCCAAGACAGTGATGGAGAGATGTATGAAGACATAAATGACATCAGGTAGTAATTTTAAACTCCATAGTCTACTGTATCGTTAGTACCAAAAGCTTGCAAAGAAACATACTTCATCTGGCACAAAAGTGTGATTCCACTGCAGTCCTTGCCAGGCATTATTGTGTTCATTCATTTCACCTAGAGAAAGTCAGGTTGTTAACGGGTTCTTTCCTACTTAAATCTGCTATGCCCTGAGCTAGAAAAACTGATGCAATATGACCCTGTGGTTACTGTGATCTAGATAACGGAAGTCTGATTTCTGATCTACGGAACACGTCTGAATCGCTGTTTGGAATTACAGCCTAGGAGGAGAAATAAGATCAGGCCCTAGGTACTATGATCCCAGACAGATGTTTCGTTGTGGTTGTTCTTGCTTTCTAGATACATGTACTTAGAACTCCTACAAGGGGCTGGATTTACAGTTCTCATGGCCTGAGTCCCCTAACATAGTTACGGAGCCAGAATATGAGCGCTGCTTGTTCTTCTGCTATTTAGCCCTTTACTTTGAGGAATCTCTTGCCCTCCTAATGTCTAAATATATGGGATTCACAGTATGACAATAGCCAAAGAAAAGCTCTAATTCCCTTGGAATAAGTAATAGTCTAGAGTTCCTACACAAAAATACCTTGTTTCAGACGTAAAATGACTTTCAGCAAAAAAAAATATTATTGAATTCCCTGTGAAAATAGATAACTCTGAAACTATATAACTAAAACAAGTGATCCTCATTCTGTCTTTTTTTTTTAATGTAATTTGAGCATATCAGTTTAGCAAAAGTACCGAAAAAGAAAGAGGATGGAGCCTCACTCAGTCAGTTCCATAGGCTTTGTAAGGCATAGCTCTTCCAGCCAAACCGTTGGCAGCAAACAGCAGAGCTGTAGCTATAGTCCTAATTACCTCCCAGGGCCCAGATCTTAGTACCATCCAGCACACGAGGCACAGCAGGCAGTGTACCCTGGCATGACAGGCACATTCATGATGCAGTGCAGAAGACTGACTTGTCATTTGTGTAGACTGCCAGAATAGGTTGCAATGAGGTTTAAAACCGCAGTTTAGTGGTAGCTCAGGCTTCAGTTCAAGCTGCATCAACCACCGATGGCCTGGGTAAATATTTAACAGCTGCAGCCAGTGCCACACCACCTAGACTGCTACCAGTTTCCAAGCTTGCTTGCCAAAATTATCTCAGAGATGTATGGACATGCACAGGTAGTGTCAGCCTCTTACCTCCAGATAACCTTTTCTGGCGTGTTGTCCTCTTGAGGACAGCCACTTTAAATTATATATGTACTATAAGAGAAAGGGCTGCTCTACTCTATCTGTGGCAGCCAAGCTAGGGTTTAGAATCTGTAGCTTTGATTTCACTGGGAGAAGTCTTTTTCCATCACATGTAGTTCTTTGTTAACCTTGGGTAAGAAAGAGCTAGTGAGATCTGTTTCATGGCTACATTCAGTCCTGGCAATGAACTTTCAGATCTTCAAGGGGAAAAGAGAAGAAGCAGGACAAAGAAGAGAAGAGAAGAATGGACCAAGAGAAGAAAGAACAGAAGGAAAAAGAAAAGAAAGAGCAGGAAATAAGGAAGAAGTTCAAAGTAAGCTTTTTATTTTGTAATCTGGCCAAAGACATGTAAGAAGCATTATTTAGCGTTGTCGAATTCAAAACACACTTTTCAGCTGGCTACAAAACTGTTTGTTATGGTACATAGTTCAAGCACCTGGATAAATTCTGCATAAAGGTTTAACCTACCCTTTTATGTTTGGCATATGCTTGACTTCAGGCTCTGTACTGAGGGCAAAGACACTTTTCAGTGCTTATATAGTTTTTGTTAAATTCCCTTCTTGCATTCTTTCTATGTAAAAAAGCCTTTAAATCATTTCCTTTCTCTTTTCTGCTTAAAAAGCATTTACGTCACTAGAATAGCATCAAAAGTCCTTAATAAAAGTGGGAGATGGATTCCATGTACTTAGTGGGTTTTGCTCCAACAACAGTATCCAGCCCGTAAGAGATTTCAGCATTCCGTTGTAACACACTGCCCTTGCTTTCATCTAAAGGGACTTGAAGGGACTTCCAGCCTAAATGGGGAGGAAGGGAACAGGGCATGTGTAGGGGAGCTACGGTCACTGTCAAAGCCTAGGGGCTAAATGATGAGACGATTCCTTCTGTTTTGTATAATTTTTATATAGCTGGTGGTCCACACACTACCACAGTTTACAAATCTGCCAGAAATTTTCTGATAACTAATGCCTGTTCGCAATGCTTCACTGGGCTTCTTCCAGTGTCATTGTACGTAGTGGGCAGCTTTATTTTTCTTCCTGTTATGCTCTGTATACAGTAAAGCCATGGTCAGTCTCTCACATCATGGCCTTGGTCTTCTGTGGAGAGACTGACATGACTTGAGGAGCAAATATTAAAGGAAAATACTAATAGTTAATAATAGTGGGCTAGCTGGCATTTGTCAGGCCCCAAGTCGATTCTTCAGACCGTTCCTGTGAAGTGTAGGCATTAGTGCACTGAATGCTTTCAGACTGCAGACTGCTCTGTTGCAGCCATTATAGTAGGCTATTATTCCTAAATGCAAACAAACATATTTTAGTGCACATTTTCTTTCCCATTTCTTTGCTACCCATACAGGATAGATATCCCCGAGCTACTCGTCCACAGCCACATGCCTCTGCAAGATCACTTACATCTTAAAGCCACAGATACTAAAATCCAAAGTGGTTTCTCCATCACATAATCTAAAGATCTCACAAAGAGAATTCTGAATTCCAGTAAACAGTGTGATCATCTCTTGTGGGTACTTGTAGGATCATTTATCAAGTTGAGTTGTAAACACAGAACATTATGTGGTAGAATCATTTATGTCAATGAACATTTACTCATAGGGTTAGTTCTGCTGGAACTACATGGAGCTGCCCACTGGAATTACAGACATGTCTGCTTTGTGAACCTGTGAAAGGCTCCATAGGTTCGTCTGTTGGTTTTAGTCTTCGTATTTCTGTGATTTTGCCAGTCGCTTCTTCAGCTGCTCTACTGCTATGCTGTTGCCCTCTCTGTTCATACCTGATTATTAATTTAAACTGGGGTTGGGGACCAGAGTGCTGCCTTTCTGTTTCTTTGCCTGGACTATTTTAAATGTCAATGCAATGAATAGTCATCATTAGTTATTTTCTATTTTGTCTTTTGTTGCTTTTTCTCTGCAGTTAACAGGACCCATCCAAGTCCTTCATCAGGCACGAGCTTGTGTTGACCACAAGGGAGGGAAGAATGAGCTGACTGTCAAACAGGGGGATGAGATTGAAATAATTCGCCTCACAGACAACCCAGAAGGAAAATGGCTGGGCAGGATAAAAGGATGTTGTGAGTTCTGTTTCTTCACTGTGCTCCTGAACATTTTCACTGTATGACAGCAAACATGTGAGCATTACACCAAGGAGTGGCCTTACCAAGGCTGAGTCACTGGCCACCAAAGTAAACGATGTCCACAACTCACCCTCCTGTCTTCAGCTGGCATACGAGGCTTCGTTCATAGTAGGAAGTTATTGTACCACATAACATAACATCTATAGACACTAGAATAAGTTAGGAACAGTATGTTGGGATCTTCATGGACCTCTTGCGAGGTAATTCCAGGTCAGCCTTCAAATAGCATCAGAACTTGGCTCCATGCCAGTAAGAAGGATTGCATTTTTTCATGTCTTTGTATTTAAAATAACATGGGTGTTGCTAAAATAGAAGCAGAGAATATAAGGTCCTGTTTTAAGTGTTTGTCTTGTTCCTATTCCTATGGAAAGTTTCTAAACTGTTTCTGGATTTTATTTTCTCTGAAATCCAAGATATTCCTCTAATTGTATAAATATCATCAGTGGATCTATAAGTATGATAAGGGGGTGATGAATCTGGCTCCTGGGTTGTAGTAAAGACGTTAAAAGACCGACCCATAAAATCAATGAAAATTTTTAAAAGCACTTGTTTGATTTTTAAGGAGACTAAAATGACAATAAGTTCAGTAAGACAGTTCACACATGTCGAACTGGACAATACCAGCTGAGCACTTTGTAGTACTGGACATAAAAAGATGCTAAGGACCTGGAGCCTGTCTCATACAAAGAGAGGCTGAGTGAACTGGGACTGTTCAGCCTGGTGAAGGGAAGGTTTAGGGGGGATCTTATAACCGTTCATAAACATCTGATGGGAGGGTGTAAAGAAGACGCAGCCAAGCTCTTTCCAGTGGTGCCCAGTGACAATGCAAGAGGTACAGGCACAGACTGAAACACAGGAAATTCTGTCTGAACATTAGGAAACACCGAGGGTAAGCAAGGAAGGGAGAAGGTTGCCCAAAGAGGTGGTGGAGTCTCCATCCATGGAGATCTTCAAAACCTGAGAGGACACAGTCCTGGGCAACCTGCTCTAGCAAGTCCTGCTTGGGCAACGAGATTGGCCAAGAGGATCTCCAGAGGTAAGTTCCAGTATCAGCTTTTCTGCGATACTTGGAAGTTTTGTAAATATATCTTTTGCATGGAGCATTTTGTACATAGGAAACCAAATCGTGGTGAGGGCTGAGAGAAGGTTATTTTCTTGAGCATGTTCAGTCAATTAATTAATTTACTTTTAATGAATTTACTTTTCATAACCTGCTTCTTGCCTCAGCAAAACTGCAATCTCTATAAGGCTTCTCACTGACAAGTATCAACAATACAGCCCAATTTGTTTCATCAATGCTGCAGCTTCCAGTGTTCACAGGCCAGCAATGGTCTGTGAAGAAGACCAAACAACAGTGGAAAATCAGTCCTGATCATTTAAGCAAAAGAAAAAAAAATAATATGTTACAGATTTGAGGGGAAACACAGGAAAAACTGAGTTCACTCAGAAGAAGCATAGCGAAAGATTTTCCATTTTCAAGAAATGCATGGGCATTTTTCATCTTCAAGAAAATTCATTCATGCTCTTTTCTGTACAGGCAGTACGCCTGTCTAAAATTCCCCTCAGCAGAGACAGAGCTCCCAGTCTCAGGCCAGCTGCTCTGCTGCAAGTTTCTCCTGAGCCATTGCACCCAGGGGCATGACCAGATCTCTTTAGCAAAGATCCAGGGACAAGAGGCTAACAATGCAGCTGCAGCATGTCTACCAGCCTAAATCAATGCAAACAGAGCGTCTCTCCCTCCTTATGACATGTCAGAATCTTTATGTCCTGGGCTTCCCTCAAGCATGCCATGAGACTGCAGTGGTCCCAAGGTTAGCCAAGAAAGGGAGCTTGCCCCATGCTTCCTGGAGTCGGCAAAAAAATTCTTCTGCTGTAGCTGAGAAGCAAATAGAGGTGAAGTTAACTTCACACTAACTGAGGAGGCTTTGGGGGGAGATTTGAGCCAGGTCTGAGATTTGTATTTATGTAGACAGATGGAGACTCAAGCTGAGGCTGCTTGGAATGAGACATTTCTTTGAAAGTTTTCAAAGATCATTCAAAACAATTCAATCACTGATTCTGAACCTTCTGTTAAACTCACCTCTATACCATGAGCTTTAAAACTGTCTCTGCCTAATTACATGGTTTCATTCATGTAGATGGATACATTAAAACAACCATGGTGGAGATTGATTATGATTCTTTGAAGAGAAAGCAACCACCCTCTACCAGAGCTGCTGTGAAACATCCAGAGAGTGACCAAGAAGTGTACGATGATGTTGGAGAGCAGGACAGTATTAGCAGGTATGTATAAGGAATACATTAAAAGGAACCAATGATTCGCTTTAGTCAGCCTAGACAGGGGAAGTTTTACAACAACAAAGCAGACTCTTGTCACAAAGGAACAGCCATTTATATCAGAAACATGTAACTGAGCTATTCAAACTGACGTAGTCAGAGAAACAAGAATGAATTCTGGAATCCAGCATCTATAAGCACTCATACTCAGGAGGAATCCCTACTATTGGAAGAGGACCTACCGCATTGCAGTCCGAAAGAGAACAAAACACAAAAAATGCAGGATTAAAAATCACCTGCAGAAAGTGCAATTCTCTTCCCCTCCTCTCTTTTCCTGGTCTGTCTTTTGAAGTCACATACTATCTTTTCTGACGTGCAAGAATAGAAGAGTTTAAAAGCAATGAAAACACTCACTGCACCGGGGAACTCCTAATCACCCTCATCGCTCTCAAACTGGGAGTCTTACTACCTCTTTCCTTTTGAAGAGGATGAGCCTCTGGAAGCATGACTAGGATAGCCCTTCAGAAGAGAGTGTGGCTCATATGTTTAGTTCTGAAAATAGTGCCTATAAAATTCCATGAGATGGGTATGACCTACACTTTTTTTGACTTCATCAGAAGCTTCTCCTCTATGGCACAGTCTCACATGTACTTGCAATGAAGTGCTACATTGCAGACTCTCTACTTCAATGTGCCATGTGTTTCACATCAAATAGATCTGCAGCTAGCTAAGTGCCATCTCCAGCAGCATATCCAGCTGGCTGGCGGGGAAATACCCTAGTGATCTTGTGACAAAAGCCAAGGCTATCACATGACCCCACATGACAGTGGTACATCTGTTACCCAACCTCACATAAAAGATTGCTTCTGTCATGTGATGCAACCAAGCAGTGCTCATTCTCCGTTATTCTCCGTTTTCATGTCCTGATTTGCAGAAACACATACCTCAGCATTCAGTTAATAGATCTGTATATGGGTGTAGAGGATTTCAATGTGTAGGACAACCATCTTGAAACACTCAGCCCTTACACCTGCTTTTACCACTTCCCAGCACCTTAACACAGAGGCCTTGCTGGAATCAAGGGAACGCAGCTGGCTGGCTGGCTGCTGGGTGCAGCTGATCCTCAGGTGCTAGAACATGCCCATGAGCTCCAGAAACAGTGCTTGGAAAGATCTGCCTTCAGGCTGGCATTCTTTAAGCAACCAATATGGGTTTGCATCTGATATTTTTCCAAGTTGCTCAGTATCAGTTTTCCTCCCTACACATTGGTCTCCTAGCATCATAACCCAGACAGAAGACTTGCTTTAATTGTTCTAGGTTTTAGGTAATGTAAGCGTTAGGCACTTTGTTGCAGAAGTATCTTTGGCCAATCCTTTTCACTATGGCAAGCATTACAATCCACCACCTCAATGCAAGGAATTTAGAAAATGTACTGAATTCGAAAGCAAAAAAGAATACTTAACACTGTTGCATATTAAAATAACAGTGTAAGGAACTTGGGAGGATGAATGAATGGCTCAGTTTCGTTAAATCCTTTAAGCTGTATTTTGACATTTTTATCTTCTCTAGTGATTAATAGCATTCTATTCAGTTCATGAGCATGAATTGTTGGAAGGTCTGACATACACCAACACGTTTTGAAACCACTATAAGAATGCCATACTAAAAAAAGCCACTTGACTAAATAATATTGTCTCATTATCGGTAGTATTGTTAATATGCCAAAATTAGTAAGTGACTAGGGCTGTTGTACTGCAGATTTCTTGGCACAAGAGTTTCACAAATACTTTGTTTTGATGTGTTCATTTAAGTAAGGCTCTGACCTGGAAATAATCTCAGCTACTATGAAACTATCAGGTTTTTTTCAATTACTGTTAGAACCCTGGGCTAATACGGAATCCTTGAAATGTTAGAAACATGCAGTTTGAGGTTTAAAGCATCACCCAATGAAAGCTAGTTGTGCAATAAAGTCACTTGTTTACCATTTGATCTCAAGAAAATCCCCTGACAGGGATGAATCTAAAGGGTAGGGATGCACTCTCTAGTGTTCAGTCAGATTATATTTTTTATTGCCATCAAGTTTGACTACATGACCTCCTGAGATCCCTTCCAACATGAATTATCCTATGATCCTGAGTCATATTTTGTACTTTAGTTTAAAGATATCAACAGGAATAGGCATCAATTTTCATTTCCTTGAAAATAACACTTTATTAGAAATTCCTAATGATTACTAAGAATTACGAACAATTACGACCAAATGTTCAGCTTGTATGAATATATGCACCTTTGTTGACTGTCAATATCTACATTAATTTATCCAACTAGAGAATTTGCTTCACAGCTTTGCTTATGAAATACTGTCCTTTTTTTCATATTAACTAAAGATGGTATTGATAACTCTCTCATAACCCTTTGAATTACTGTAAATCATATTTTTAAATGCACGTTTCTGATTTGTAATTAATTGTATGCAACTAAAACAAACAAACAAACAGAGTACTTTTTCCTGTTTTACCTGAATGTACTAAAAGCTAATCTCTTGTCATTTAAGAGCTATCATAGGATCATAGAATGGTTTGGCTTGGAAGGGACCTTAAAGATCATCTTGTTCAAACCCCCCTGCCTTGGGCAGGGACAACTTCTTTTAGATCAGGTTGCTCAAAGTCTCATCTAACCTGGCCTTGAACACTTCCAGGGATGGGATATCCACAACTTCTCTGGGCAACCTGTTCCAGTGCCTCACCACCCTCAGAGTGAAGAATTTCTTTAGATCTAACCTGAATCTACCCCTTTCAGATTAAAGCCACTACCCTGTCTTATCACTACATGCCCTTGTAAAAAGTCTCTCTCCAGCTTTCTTGTAGACCCCTTTCAGGTACTGGAAGGCTGCTACAAGATGTCCCCAGAGCCTTCTCTTCTTCAGGCTAAACAATCTCAACTCTCTCAGTCTGTCTTCCTAGGAGAGGTGCTCCAGCCCTCGGATCATCTTTGTGGCCTTCCTCTGGACTCTCTCCAACAGCTCCGTGTCCTTCTTACTTACGAAGTAGATGACACATTTTCTTTAGCATTAGTGAGAATGCAACTACTATTTGATTGTAAGAAATTGGTGGGAGCATGGTGAAAACAGAGAGGAAAAAAGAACTGACCCATTTAGTTGTTGACCACATAGAAAACAAAAGCATGTGCCTGAGCTTCCAGTGCAGAATTCGTAGTGCTCAGCTGGCAATGTACACAGGTACCAAAGCCAAAAGGTTTAGAACTAATAACTACAAAAGCGATGGGTGATCATGGTGGTTTTTTCATCTGAAGGATGACTGTTTTTCTCTAAAATGTCTCTCGTTTGCTTTTCCAGTCAGAGTGGAGGTCAAAGTGGAGCTGGAAGTAAGTTCTACATGTACTTTATGGGGAGAGTTGTTCATGTGTACCACTTACCTTCAAATCCAGACCTCTGCAGCTTCCAAATAATGCAGTAATTATCCATAAGCATGCTAAATGTTAGCTAACAGGCAAGATATGAGGAGGTACAGTGGCCAAATTAACTTTCTTTACACCTATGGGACTTTGGGAGAGAAAAAGTTTTGTCTTCAGATACTGTGAATCAGAAGCATGGCAGAGATGACAAAACTTTTCTGTGAAGGTAAATCATCCCACAAAACAGCACTGATGCAATTGGCAAAATACTAACATGGCCAAGAAGTTTCGTGCAGGAGAAATCTAGTTCTGAAATAGCCAGTAATACTACCAATTAAAGCTGCATTTTACTGAAAGAGTTAAGGGGAACATTAGTTTTGGCAATACTCTGGAGTCCTAACCAGGATGACTGCAGTGGTCTCACACTGTCAAGAACACACGTTCAAATCCAGTTTCCCTTTGGTAGCACATATATTTATGTAACATTGTCTGTTGATCACAAGAGCACAGCTCGTCTTCTCGACTTAAAGTTTAGATATTGGTCATGGCAGAAGCATCCCCTGGCAGCGCTGAATGAAGTTGCTGCCAGCTAAGTACAAATTTCAGTGACTACTCTGACCAGTGGCTAGAGTTGGACGTGGAAACTGAGCTAACCTTGCACTGAAGGAGGTGGGGCTCAAAGGTCAGAACTGAGACCAAAGTGGGCAGCTTTCTTTGCACTTGCCTCTGGCTTCTGCGGATGAGCACAAGATGTCACTTGCTGAGAGTGTTGGTATGACATCTTCAATCCTCACTCGAGCTACACACAAAAATTTAAAAGTCATCAGTCGTCATAACAACTGGGCCAAAATCAGCCATTTAGAATTTCATCAAATACCATGTAAATGCATTTTTTTTTCAGTATTCGTGCTCTTGTGATCGACAGTGCCAGATTTAATTGCTGTGGACAGCGCTGCCAACCGGGATAAGTCTAAATCACTGTTTTAATAAATAGTGCTGGTTTACAGAAAGATTCCATTTGCAAGGATAGTGCGCAAACTGCACACACATCTGACATGCTTAAGAGGCCAGTAATGAATACTCTATTCAGCAGCATTAAATACAAATGCATTAATTCACTGTTTGATCTGTTAAAGAGACGTTCCAACCTCCTCCTTCTGATCAAGACATTTATGATGGGGTTGATGACGAAGGTGCTGTATCTAGGTATGTTTTTCTATCATTGAAATGATTTGTTTCCGTAAGAGTGTTTGCATTTCAGGTTTAGTATTTTTTAATTAGGCATAATAATTAGTAAGTATTAGGATCATCAGCAAGTGGATGTACATCAGGATGGATTTGTGAATCTAAAAAAAGGGTTCTCTGGTCTTTTGGAGAAGTTTTGTTTTGTAATTAATTTTGGTATGTCAGCAGAAGCAGCCGCAATCATGAAAAGCCTGAAATCCCCCAATTAGACAGAACAGCACTGAAATGAAAATGACTAAAATGTTAGCTGGCTGAGTGACAACATGAAGCCACGAGGTTAATACCTATACCTACAAATATATCTCAATATCTACAAATGACCTAACAGACATATTTCTAGTTAAGCATTTTGGTGTTTAACATTTAGGTAAGTGTTGCTGGCATTAATGAGAATTATGTGCATCAATGGAGAACTTAAACTGGACCTTTTAAAAAAAATGTTACATTTTACATTGTGATAATTGCATGCATACTCCAAAGGTCTGTATCACAGGATGAAGATAAGAATGGTATCTGGTCGTGGGGCATCTTGAAGAGGCTAAAGGCCAAAGATGACAAAAAGAAAAGTGTACGAGAGAAAACAGCCAAAGTCAATGGGGCAGAAGATAATGGAGATTTGTTGTAAGAGTCTGCCAGGAAACCACAGTGCACGTTAACTAATTCTAATAAAGCATTGATCACATGCTACTAACATGTTCTCACAGCAGCCTAATGAATGATGCATCAAATTGCAGCTCAGGATGATACTTTTCTGCAAAACACTGACCTCCTTTCTCTTCACCTGCATAATATAATTGCTCTCTTAACAAGCTGTATTTGTTGCATAAGTCTGATAATTAAAAGATACAAAAAAATTGTTTTGGTGAAGAGCACCAAAATAATACATTGTTTTGTGCCACTCTGGTGATGCAAGTGTGCTGTATCCTCAGTTAAAAAGTACTTTGCTCATCAGTACAACATAGCTGAGATAAACTGGTAAATCTAGTCTCATTAATCCAAATTCTAGGAATAATATGCCAAACAGAAAAATGCAAAGATTGTCTTCTGCCCATCTTACCTAGAGGTTAGATCAGCAACTGGTCTCTTTACCACCATCTTCTCTCCTTCAGTTCTGAACCAGTTTACTTTGATTCAGTGGTAAAAATATATTTTGTCTATGAATATTGCTAGTGTCAGCAGAGTTTCAAAATGTCTGGAGATTATTTGGATCCCTTGTATTGCAAGTTTTTTAAATTATTTAAATGATTCAAAAGCCTATTAATGTGATATAAATACTTAATGAGGATCTTTTTTTTTCAGCATGCCTCCTTCAACAAAGCAGTTTGGAAAAGGTAATTAACAGCCTATTGTTCAGTCTCTATATTGATTCCTGATCCTTTTTTCTACATACATTACTCTGTATCGTGCTAGTCTCAAAAATACATCCAAGGAAGGAAACAGGATTTCCCATTGCTTACCCAGTTCCAGCAAACAAATTTCAAATACTGTGACTGATTCGTCCCCAGACAAGGAGATACGAATACATTGCAAGCTCTCCAGAAAACAATTTAATGTCTTTTTTCAGAAGTCATGATTTTTCTAGATGAGACTTCCGCCAGTTCATTTATTTGACGTTAAGTATGAACAGATACACTTGGAAAGAAACTCTTAATGCAAGACTTCAAAAGCAAAAAGAGAGCTTTTTGTTGTTTTTATCACTTGCAGTGTCTTTGTAAGATAGCATTTACTCAGAAATGTCAGCACAGCCACGGAATAAAAAGCAAGTTCTTACAATTTTGGTGGCTGTTGCCTGAACTGAGTTCTAAACCTTTTATCTCCTACTATGATTTTTCTAGCCATGGATTTGAAGGGCTGTATGGGCATTGCAAGAGGGCCTAAAAACTAACATACAGGTGATTCATACCCACTTCTAGGCAACATTGCATTGACCAGAGTGCTATAGAAGTGCCTGAGTGTACACTAACATCAAACCCCAAAAATATACTTTGACACAACACAGTGGGAAATGGACTAATTGCAATGAAGATCACAGGCTATTGCATTAGCCAACATGTGCTAAAGCTTGCTTCAACTTAAGAAGATTAAAATATCAGTGCATACCTGTTGTTATTACTAAAGAGTCTTATTCTGAAAAGGTTGGCTGGTGTTTGTTTTGCACAGAACGTTGTGCCAATCAGAGAACTCACAGTTACTATAGACAATAAATGGTTACAGTACTTGCTGCAATTTCTTGTCAACCTACCATGGATTGTAAAGCCATGTATTCACTACTCAAGGATCGCATGTAATTTTCTATTCTTTTAAACACTATTGTTTCAGATTGTGAAGACAATGATGTTTATGACGACATAGATTCTTCAGACTTCCCTCCTCCACCACCTGAACTCAGGCAAGTGAAAATGGGAATTACTCCCCCGACTGGAGTGATCCCCTGATCACCTATAATACAATGTGAAACATATTTCCAAGTATTGAGAAGCTCAACATGAGCCGGCAGTGTGCTCCTGCGGCCCAGAAGGCCAACTGCATCCTGGGATGTATCATGAGAAGTGTGGTCAGCAGGTCAAGAGAGGTGATTCTCCCCCTTTACTCTGCTCTTGTGAGACCCACCTCGAATACTGCATCCAGTTCTGGTGTCCCCACCATAAGAGAGACATAGATTTGTTGGAGCGCGTTCAGAGGAGGGCCACAAAGATGATCCAGGGGCTGAAGCACCTCTGCTACGAGGACAGGTTGCAGGAGCTGGGATTGTTCAGCCTTGAAAAGAGAAGACTTCGGGGGGACCTAATAGCTGCCTTCCAATACCTGAAGGGAACCTATAGGAAGGCTGGGAAGGGACTTTTTACAAGAGTGTCCACTGATAGGACAAGGGGAAATGGGTTTAAGTTGAAGGAGAACAGATTTAGATTAGATCTTAGGAAGAAATTCTTCAGTACGAGGGTGGTAATACTTTGGAATAAATTTCCCAGAGAAGTTGTGGATGCCCCCTCCTTGGAGGTGTCCAAGGCCAGGTTAGACGGAGCCTTGAGTAGCCTGATCTAGCTGAGAGGCGTCCCTGCCCATGACAGGGAGGTTGGATTAGATGATCTCTGAGTCCCCCCCAGCCTATGCCATTCTATGATTCTATGATTCTATTTACTAGTGGCAGATTGCTACTAATTTATGCTTTATTTAGTGTTGTCAGGTTTTGTAGTTCTTTTAACCCTACTGTTGACAATGGCAGCTGAATGCTCCCTGCCTTCATTTCAGACTGAAGTAATTATTGGGCTATAGAATAAATACACATGCTTTGAATTTCAGCAAATTCAGTCTCTGACGGACAAGAGGTAGAAATGAACAAATAGCCTAAAGGTACTTCATTGTAGATTCTCTGCATGCATATCCTATCAAAATTTGGGGACTGTACAGATAAGTACTTGATCCCAGCTGCTGTAGTATTTTAAAAGGAAAGGAGACAGTGCCCTGTGTTATAAGCATGAAACACATCCAGAGGTGTAAAGTTCAACTCGGAAAACTTTCATCCCTGAACCAGGAAGTTATGGCCATCTCTGGAGCACAGATGTGTAACAAGCATAGATGCATCTGTGAAGATGACTGCAACATGTCACATTCTGTTGTCACCAACTCCACTCAGGTCAAGCTACAGAGTAGTACAATAATCTAGTCTGGAGGCATTAAAACAGAGAGAGCTCTTTGAACTGTGTATTGAAAGGAAAACACGTGGCACTCCTAACGTAAATCTAGGTTAGTTTGCACACACATACATTCCTCATCAGTGAAACTGTCATCCAGGTCTCCTACAGAGATCAGAAAGGATGAAAAAGTAGAGTTGGACTTTAAATTGCCAGGTACAGCATCAGGAAGGGCAGTTAGGATATGAAACCCTTCCATGCTCATGAGCACAAGTAAGCAGTATCAGGGATGTGGAAAAAACAACAGAACTTGAAACGAGTCATGCAGATTTCCTGGTGTAGCAAGGTCTTCTAGGGGAACATAGGGCCAACATAGCTGCTGTACAAAAGGCAAAGATGTTCCAGCTGCCTCCACAGTGTGACGTGTTATTCAGCCTATTGCCCAAATATACATAAACTTCATAAAAATTGCTCCTTGCCTAGAGATTTCAAAGTGATGGGTATCATTTACCTAAACTATTTTTGGTGGATGTAAATTTCTTATGGCCGTAGCTGCTAGATACTGTGAATAATTTTCCATGTTCACCTGTGTGATAGACATATTAACATCAGAAGTCATGAAAAGAGAAAAGTAGGAAAGACAACCCCAAGTTTTTATTTCTTTCGAAATCAAATCTGTGTTGTATGATCCATATTAGTTTTGTAGAGCAACAAAAACATATGAAAGACACATGCGTTTTCACTAAAATGATCAGAAGGGTTGTCAATACCTCAGATATGTTACTAATTTTGTTTTTGTCTGTAACCTCTTGTTATAGTTCACCAAAATCAGCAAGCCTTGGAAAATCTAAGTCAGATGAACAAGATGCACAAAAGCGTAAAAAGATAGAAAGAGAAGAGAAAGAGTTCAGAAAAAAGTTCAAAGTAAGTTTTGTTCAAAGTAAGTTGAAATATAAAGACTGAAGTATCTGTACCCTGTACTCTAAGTTGTGTCCTCTAATTTGTAAAGAATCCATTATTTTGCCTTTGAAAGGTAAAGTGTTACTGCTTGTAAAAATAGTGATCTGAGCATTTGTATGTGATTGTTTGCCTCATTTTCAAAAATTGAGCAACAAATGGGAATATAGTGGCCTAAAAATTCGTGATCGTAAGCTTTACGTTGATGGTCTTTAACCAGCATCTCTTTATTTTATTTTTGCAGTTTGAAGGTGAAATTAAAGTTCTTTACTCTACCACCACAGTCCAGGATTTGCCCCTGAGAAGACGAGGACCTAAAGACTTAGAAGTTAAACCAGGGGAGTCTCTTGAAATTATAGAAAGTACAGATGATACCAAAGTCCTGTGCAGGAATGAAGAAGGAAAATGTAAGTTTTAATAAAAAGCTGTAGTGCAACTCAAATTGTCAGAGAATGATTGAGTCAGGAAATGTAAAAAACCCTTCTCTCTGTCATATTAAAGTAGAGTCTATTACTTGTCTTTTTCCTTGCCTAGTGGTTAACAAGAGGTAGATTGTTGTTATTTTACTATTGCATTTTAAGAGTGGCTTGCCTTAAAAAAATTAGAACTCCAATAGACAAGAGATACCAAATGTGAGAAAAACTTGGTTACGGAAATCTTGCTTTCCATCAACTAAGATTAGCAGATGTTTTTGTTGCCTCTGTCTCCCTCTATATGACAAGAAGGGTGTCACCATGATACCCCACAGAATCTAGTAAAAGTAGAATCCTTGCTGCACCTTGGGGAAGCACTTGCCCATTGATTACAGCCAAGGGAGAATCAATAACAATATTCTTACTTTGGATTGCCAGAGATGAGTTTAGTCTTTTTGACGGGCTGGGGAGGAAACTGCTTAGCAGCCTTGGCCCCAGCCCCCAGCTGATCCAAGGCACGTGTCATTGCCACGCCGGCTTGTTTTGGGAGCTGCACGAGGCCTCTCAGTGTTTCTTTGAAACTCTTGGCTGGGGTGTGCATTGGCAGAAGATTTTGCATTTTTGGAGAAGTCTGGACCATCTACCGTTGGTTAGATGTCTTAATGTGCTTCTGTAACAACACTTTTCCAATCTCCTAACAAAAATTCACTTTGTGTAGGAACAGGCTATGTTCAAAGCAGCAGCATCCTTCCGCTCACCTTTAATTTTTACCTCTGAGCTATGCAGAAAACAGTTCAATGCCATAAACCTCTGAAGGGGATTTAGTCACTTCTCTTCTATTTTTTTACCCTCTGTACTCAACTGTTACAGTCTGGAGTAGAGCTGCCTTCCTGGTAGACCTGCAGGGCAAGGAAGAATTTCTTGCCTAACAACACTTAAGTGTTTCAAAATATGGATTGCACTAATGTAGCCACTTCCCCAAGAGCAGCTTTCAATGCTGCATTTTTTGAATCAAGCTAATCACAAAGCAGAAAGTAGTTCATGTTGGCTGTTTTCCTCACAGCCTTCAAAGCCTTTCAAACAGTGACAGGAGCTACTGCTTTGCTATGCATAAAAGAGCAAAACAACTCAAAATATCCTTCCTGAAAACCTCTGAATAGATCTCAGTCAATTTTCACATTAATTAGTGAAGTTTGAATCCTACTTTAGTTAAATGCATGACAGTTGTGGTTATTTGCTGTAGTTGCTCTAGTTCTTCGTCTCTTGCAGCTATGATTTTACCTTTTGAAGGCCACACAGACTGAAAATCAACAAGTAAAGACAATTTTCTTACTTTCTTACACATTAATTCTTCCATTTGATTGTTAACTTGGGAAGCACTTCCATAGCTTCATGCCTTTACCGGCAGCTAAACAAAATTCCAAATTCTATTATGTCTTCTCCCCTTTTTAAGCAAGGACTAATGATCTTAGGAATGTATTCTGCTGTCACTTATTTTAATTGTTATGAAATGATTTAAATTTCAAAAGTGAAACAAGGAACTGATTCTCATTTACCTTCTCAAATTCCTTCTTACTGTTGCTTCGGTCTGACCCACATACATTTTGAAATACAGAAAAATCTTCAATTCACTTTCATAGATTTTGCTTAAACATTAGGATACAAATGGACTTCAGTGCCTGAAAATGTAAGTTGTGTCCTCCCCAAGCTTCCTTTACACTGTCAGAGAGCAGCTGGCCTGATGTATCATAGCTTTCTGAGGTGCTAAGTAATCAGGATGGAGTGTGCTGACCTGCTGCCTTGTTCCCTATTGCGGAAGCCACATAAATATCAACGAATTGGAAACAGAAACTTTGGAGGTGTAATTTTGGATTAGTAAGTCTGACAGTGTGAGATCAGTGGGGGCTCTATCTCTCGCATATTTAGGAGCTAGGGACCATCAGAAGAACCTAGATGATGCTTTCCAGTGGTAGAAGGTCTGGCACATGTACGTCTGGCTTGCAAGCACACTGTGTTTGTGCACCATGACTGTAAGCAAGCAAATTTTGTTTCATGTATTTCACGTGAGAAAATTAATGAAGAAACAGAGAATATCAGATGAGCCAAATTATTTCAAATGATTCTCAGTCAGGCTTCAGGTATCCTGAAACTCAATTGGACTCTGCTTAAAGAGAATTTTAAAATGATGGCATCTTAAAAAAAAGAGTCAATTTCCACACCTTTATCCCAAATAATAAAATCCAAGGAAAGACAACCAGGCTGCAACAATCCTGAATAGACAGAGCTTTCCCTGTGTGTACCAACTTGCAATCAGCCTGAGAGAATACATAGGTGACTGAAAACCTGCAGCACTGGGTTCTTTGACTCTTAAAGATTACCTGCAGTTCAACATTTTTAGCAGGCAAAAGTTGTAATGGAATTGATCTAAGCGTCGAATATTCATCACTCTGAAGAGACAAATACAGGCAAATGAAGCAAATTTTATCTTACACAGCTGCAGTCAAACAGAACTACTTTTTCATTCATGTAAGTGTTAAGTCATAAATGGAAGCTAAAGCAGCTTAGTGTCAAATAAAATATCACATGAAAATTATGCCTTTTTAGGCAAACTTCACCTCTTCTCTCTGTCTTCACAAGATAGAAGTTTTCTTTAAAAATGCAGTGGTTTTAATGTGTTATGGCCTTCATAGATCAAATTGCTAATCTACTTTCTATGTACCAATTAATACAGCATATTCTGGAAAAAAACTTATTTATATTTGAGATTTATAGCACTATCTGATATCTACCTATTTTAAGATGGAAATACACCAAGTTAAAATGAATTTTGCAAATTTTTTTTTTATGAAGAAAAGCTGTCTATAGGAATTAGTTACTTATCACTATTTTGCAGGATGATTAGGGATATGAGTCTTGTCAGATAACTTTTCCATATAGGCATCGCATCGGATATATTTATACGTCAAAACGTTGGCCAGTTGAAGACTGTGATAATTTAGCAGCTTTCGGGAACAGTACTAGCTCATTGTGTCTGATGCCAATTTACAAGGGAAGGTTTCCCCCACTAGTAAAGTAACAGATCTTGACAAGGGCAGTTTCAGTTAGAATAAAATTACAGTTTGGATGTAAGAAAGGCTTAACAGGAAGAATGAGATTCTTTCACTGGGCATTACTGTGTGTTTAAAAAAAGACAAGACACTTTCATGTCTTGTGTATCAGAAAAGAAAAATTCATGTCAAGCAGGAAATAATTCCTGAAGGTAAAACAATAAGATCTGGGGATTCAGCTAGACTGACCTGAAAGATCGCCACCAGAAATACTAGCAGAAAACTAATACTTTTTGTGCTATATAATGGTTTCTGTAAGTACATGGAGCAGTAGCAGCTCCAAGAATTCAAGGAACTTTACAAGTCAAGCTAATAAATTTATTCTAAAACCTACAAATTCTATGTGAATTACTCAAAAACTCTCACGTTATTGTGACTATTTAAGCCTCCTAATGACTATAAGAAGGAAACCTACCTAGTAATTCCAAATATAACACAAGATCACATTTCCCCTTTAGAACTGTCCTAATTTTATACCAACACACCAACGTTTACCTACAACTATGTAATTATTGTTATGGCTTCTCTTTGTTTGTATATGTTATACCAACTGACAAGTATGTCAGTAGATATCTTTTACCAAAGACATTAAGGAATTTTTTCAAGAGATTAAATACGTTGAAGAAGAATATGTGTGGGTTTATCTCATTTTGTTAGTAATGCAACAGAGTAATAGAATAATTCACTAGCGAGTAGCTTTTCTAAGGTCTTTCCATTATCTATATAAACAGTTGTTATGAACATGATATAGGTAAATTTTTTTAAACAATTAAACAGTTAAAGATAATTAATTGGTGTATACATCTTGAAAGACATCTTTGTCCCTGTAGGAAACTATACATATTTCTATTATTTATTATTATACATATTATTATGCAGTTATTATTATACCACATTTTTGTGCCATAGTTTGTGAACTGCACTATATTGTGTGTTAATACCTATTTGTTTTGCACCCCTCTCATGTGACCAGGAAACTAAAATCTAAGATGAAAACCTAATCTTGCATGACCTGTATTACTATTTTCACCTTTCAGCACTAGTTTTATAGATAACAGAAACTACTGCAACAGAACAAGAGAAATGACATTTTATGACTACGTAAAGTACCTGGCAAAGTAGACGTCTAACTGGTCTGGAAGATACTGTAGTATTCTGATTCTCTGTCTAAGGCACCACATTATACTAAACAAGCAGATAAGACTAATTAAAACTAAAATTAGACATAGCAAAATCTTCCTCGAGTATATATCCATTGTACATTGTTATCCATCTATTATGTCTTTCCATCTGAAATGGCATTTCACTAGTGCTATCAACGGAAGAAATAACATGAATATGTAACTTAAATACATACATATTTCAATTTTACAGATGGCTACGTTCTGAGAAGCAACTTAGTTCAGAAGTAAGTACAAAGTCATCTTTTTGAAAAATTCATTGTAACACTCAATTTTACTCTAAACTGTTAAGTAAAAGTAAAATGTAATTATTTTAGTATGTCCTGCAAATTGAGTTATTCTCTGGAGTTTAGATTTCTCAAGAACTAGTCACATACATCCATGTGGGAAATTTTCCAGGGCCCCATTCCTCATTGCTTTACCAGGAATGCTGATGAAAAATTACATAAATTAAGCATTATTGGTACTAGAACCTCTTTCTGAACTGCACATTAATGTGATTAAGTGTACTGATGCCATTTTCAAAGTTTAACTAAAATTGACCAGTTTTTCTTTAGATTTATTTTTATTTCAGTCTTACTGGGATTCAGCAGATTTGGCTCAGTTTTGCTCTGAATAATTGCATGGAGTTCAGCATTTAGGTTCTAATCCAAAACCCTCGTCAGATAAAGACTTTCCATTTCTTTCAATAGCCTTTATGTTAGACCCTTAAATATCAAATCAGATGTCACTTTTAGAATTGAGGCCTGCCAAAACTTATATACATGTTTAACTTACATATAGAAATAGCCTTCTTGGCTTCCATGGGCCTGTTCGTGTATCTAAGTGACATATTTTGCAAATTCCTATCCATGGAGCACGTGTCATTTAAAGACATTCCCTAAGTTCATTCTCTAAAAAGCTGCTCCTCCAAAACCATTATAGCATTGCCAAGTACAGAAACAAATAAGAATATCAAGGGCATATGGATTCTTTTTACTCATCTTTTCTGGTTTCCATTTTAAAAAATCGATAAGCATTTCATTTTTTTATGGAAATATCTCCATGAGTTTGTTAGAATAGCTACTTAAAAACTCGATTAAAAAAAACAACCTTTTAATAAAGCAAGCCTTTCTCATTAGAAAGAAATCTATCCAGGTCTACCTTTCACTAAAAATCCTTTGACCTGACCGTCTTGCTCGACACTGTTCTGTTACTACAAAGGTTGCACTTTCCTCGTAAGCAAATGAATTCTTGATAGCATGTCTGCACTGTACTGCTACACTATTTTGTATTTGCATGCAAATTGTAACATATACCTGATGTCTCCATTTTTAACACCTGCCGTTCTTTTTCTTAACTTACAGTGATGGAGAGATTTACGATGATATTGGTGATGGTATGTTCAACGTTGCAAACAATACAATAAGTATATTCAGTTGTACCAAATAACTTTATCCTTGAGTCAAAGTACTACAAAATACTAATATCTTTTCATTATATTTCCATTTCAGATTTCATCTATGACAATGAATGATGCAGAATTCAGTGCAAGAGCTTCATTGAAGACGAAAATCTATTTTGGACTTCCTAATCGTGAAAGCAAGAGAAGTCCCCAAAGCTGATTACAAGTTAATTGGTTACACTCTTCTCAATGCACAATTAACCTTTTTTAGGATTTCATGTTTTGTCATCCCTTGCTTTTTATGACATTCGTATTGACATTTCTCTGAGCAATTAAAATTCGGGGAATATGAGCTTAACTTAAGTTTACAATTTTTTGCTTCCTTTCCACATTTATGACTGTCAATGTAAAAACAGTTCTTTTATTAGCTGTGCCCAGTTCAGGTCTATGAAAGACACAGGGGACAACAAACCTTGGTAACAGGCTTTACTCTGCCTCTTGTCTATTAAACACCAGAGACTGCCGCTCTGGGGAGGACAGTATCCTCAATAGAAATGCTTCCTTTGGTGATAACATCCCTCTGTGAAGCTAGGAAATCCAAAGTAGGCATTAGAGAACACAATGCATTGATGATCTGCCATTCCAACTGCAATAGCGTTAGCTACACTGATGTGTACAGCCATGTACCACCACTGCTGAAGTTCTTTTTCTACATTGTACTAATGATAGAATACCATTTTCTAAAATTTATGTGAACTTTAAAGTATTTTTTTGACTAATATCAATAGTAAAATAGTAACAATGTTGTATGTGTTACATACAGCACTCTGAGATACAAACCATAGAAGAGTCTACTTTATCGTATAGTGTTGATCAAGATATTTTGGGAACATTTAGGTTAAGATTTAATTTCTGTTTAGTTTGAAGACATGTTGTTGTTGTTGTTGTTGTTTCTATAGTAATTTTAGCATTAAAATGAACCTATAAACCTAGGATAAACTAGTTGGAAATAACTTCTAGATTAAACATATATGTATCACACCATTTGGATAATATTATTTTCTTCCAAGTACTATATTTTACACTAGACTTGGCTAAATGAGAGTTTAGAAATCAAACTTTTCCATGCTCATCCATTGTAGAAAAAAACATTCATTCCTAAATATCATTGGTGATGCTGTTATCTGAATGAGCAAGCAGCAAATCAAAGTACAATGAATGGATGAATCATAATAATATAATTTTGCACTTATATATCAGAGCTCACTGGAGATCAAAAGACATTTACAGCGAACTCTCATTGAAGAGGGTGAGCAGGTGCAGAAAATGGAACGTGTTTGTAACGTGTGATGCTTTTGCTCTAGTGCAAGATAATCAAAAACCTGTAAGAACCAATGTGTCTAGGTCAGTGCAAGCAACTCCTCCTCATAATCAAGTCTCCTGTAATCCCCAAGGGAAGTAAGGTGCACTGTGCAAACCAGTGCAATGTAGCAAGCCAGCAAGTTTAGCTTATAGACATAAAAAAATGTGGGCGCTGTTGAAGTCAGTGAGTTTTAGTCTTCTTACCTTCAGCAAAGCTGAGATTTCATCTTACACAAGTGCATTTTATTGATGGTTCCAAATGCAGTAAATCTGTAAGGAGGTATAATGCTATGGGAATATCAAACAAAATTAACTGTACAGATAATATCCCGTAAACTAATTTATGCTTTATTTAGAATCACTGATAATACACTGAAAAGCTGTAGACAGACTTGAGTTTCCTGTTCTATATTTGCTATTCAACCAGCATCCAGGTATACAAATACCCATTTTATGTGTAAACCTCAGCATCGGCACCTAAATTTGAAACATGACCTTGTATATTAAGTAAGTACAATGAATGTGTCTGGCTATAGACGTTTGGCTATGTCACCGCAGGTGTTTTATTTCTTCTTCATTCCAGAGCATTCCAGAGGGTATTTGCATCAAATTAGTGATATGCCAAAGAACTGAGAGAGAGCACTGACATTTAGAAATACACAACCACTTGTCAGTTAACAATAGGATAATTAGTTTCTTGCTTGACACAGTTAATTACCTCAAGGAGAGTTTGTGTTAAATTCTAACATGTATGCCCAGTCTTGGTTTAGTTGCAACTGGTAGTAGAACTTCAAGTGTTGCAGGGAAAGACCAACAAAGGAACTTTCCTTTTGAATATCGTTTATCTTGTCTTAAAGCATTTCAGTTGAACACAAACCTCTGCTGTGTCCCTGAAAAAGAAGTTAATTTTATTCTTTGTGAGAGTTTTCGGTCATGTCTTTTGAACAACTTTTCCATGTTCTTACCCTTGGTGTGTTGCAGGTACTGTGTTTCCTTGATGCTTATACTGACTGAATTGGGTTTATAATACATTAAATCATCAAAAGAAATAATCACAAGATATTTTAAGCTCAAAATCTGTCCATTGTTTGCAGAGATGAAATAGAATGTGATTGTTACAGGGCCTTGGAATGTATTTGTAAAGTACTACATACTGAAAAATTACTGGCGTTGCGTATTTTCCCTTTTCATTATTTTACCACATTTGTTCATGGGATGCATTTTTTTTCTTTCTTCTGAATAAAAGTGTGGTTTCTGACAAGAAATGTGCATATACCATCTTCTACTTTGAACAACAGTAGCTGAAAAATAACTTCTGAAAATTGTCACTGAGCAGCTGAGAGTGTGAAAATCAACTTTCTTATTGCTGCAAAGGCAGCACAACTACAATGTGGCATTTGTTTGGCAGTAAGTACTATCCAGAAAGTGAAGTGGAAGCAGAAAATCTTCTAGACGTTTTATCTATCCTATAAAATCTATACTTAGGCAGTTTAATAAGGACTGCATTTCTCACCTGTACATTCTTCTATTTTCTTTTAACAGTCATAAAGAAAGAAAAGAAAAGCTCTTCTGTCTCTTGCTATTTCTCCCTCTCCAAACTCACTCTATAATCCTGGACAATTTGGCTGTGTCTGCTAAAACATTCATCCGTGAAAACATCAAAATATTGACATAAAGACTAGACTCCAGCATGAACACCCCAGTTAAGGTAAACAGAGCTGGTTTCCATCTGTGTTGTACCTCTGTGCTGGCCCAGGAAACAGACTGGGCAAAACAAAAACCAGGAGGGCAAAAAAGACTTCTCTAATTCAGGAGCTTTAGAGCATTTCTCGGCTCTTACTGCAGGCTCTGGACTTTTTCTGATCTCCTGTGCATTCCTGTCTAAGAGGTTTATGTTCTGGGTCCACATCCTTGCAGATCCTTTGGCTATTCCTCCCACGGTGGTAACAAAACCCTCCTCTGTATGTGATCTCGTTGCATAATCCACCTCAACTGTGAAGATCAGTAGTGCTTTAGTGAGGGGAAGGAAATTCAGTGGAGGAACCTAGATTCACTGTGTGAATTAGATTACCCCTTACCTCCACATTACTTCATGACAGATACAGGTGTCGGCATGCGTGTGTGTATGTGCATGTGTGTCTGTGTGTACGTGTCTATTTTACGGCAAATAAGACAACTTTTGAGGCAACTCAGGGACCCGTAAAAGGATACCCTTACGACTTCCACACAGCAGCCCCAGACCATCCTGCCTGAAGAGGCTTTTGCATGTAGCTTCATTACAGAGGGAAGCACTCAAATGCGGGGATGTGCAGAAACTGAGTTTGTATTTGCACAGCCTCAGTTCTGCCTCCTTGTGTGGATGCGTCCTTAACTGTGTGCAGTCTGTAATTACATGATGGCTTAGTACTTTTTTCCACAGGATCCCCGCCTCGTTTAGTGCATGGGCTGGATGAGAGTTAACAGAAAAGGTAGTTGTTCAGCCTTGCTCATTCAGTTTCTGGCCACTCCTTTATTTAGTGCAAATCTTCCCAAGCCTATGCTGCACCCAGAATTATTAGTTTCTCATGGCATTGGTCACAGTGCTACCTCAGATTCCCATGAATAGGAATGGATTTATCTTGTGAGGCAGGAAAATATTTTATCCCTATTTTTAATGTATGAAAGGAAGGCACAAACAGAGGACAATTTGTCACTTCGTGGCACATACCCATTAATCCTGGATATAAAACCAAACTGCTACAGCTAAATTAACTCTATTTTTAGTACTTTCCCAGATTAGGACTCTCCCTATTCTTTCTTCCTCTTCTTTGCCTCCACTTGTGGTTAAACACAAAGAGAAGAGAGAAAACACCTTGTGTTTAAAAAGTATTAGCATCCAAAATGTATATTTTAAACATAACATGTTTACAGTAATAAAAAGAGGGTTACAGATAGGGAATACTTGTTAAAATTTAATTTACATAACAGCTTAAATTGTATTCTGAGACTTCGTGAAAACTGAGAACCAATTCTAGAATTGAATGCTCTACAGGATTACCTCGACTTACATCATTTGCCATCTCCTGACTCCCATGTCAACAGCAAGTTTGTTGGCATGGTTTTAAGTCAGGTCTATGGCTTTTGCCAGAATTAAATCCTTATGTGTATATGGGCTGGGGACATGCCAGGCTGAGACACCCAAACCGGTTCTGAAAGAATTAACTTATTTATCAGAAGCCATTATTCACCCAGGAGAGCAGCAGAGCCCGCCAAGTCCTCCACCTCGACTGCTTGGCCTCGCTAAGAAACAAGGTAGTAGTGAAGCCGACGGGTCACACCAAGCAGTTTGCAGCATCCAAGCCAGCTGGAAGACATCTCTGTGCCACTCAGGTTAGCCATGGCACTGCAGAATGCCACCACAACGTGTGGTAGCCTTGAGCAGAGCAGCAGCGTGGTAGCCCCAGGTCCCTTTCTTTGCCAGGGTGGAGCAAAGCTACAATGATCTCACAAAGCCTTTCTTCTCTGTGTTTCATTCTAGCTATCTGGCTCCTGAACAAAGGTAAAATCTGTTAAATTACCTCTATTCACCTCCTTCTAAAGCACTTTGAGAGAGAGGACTAAGCTATTGTTAAATGTATAGAGTTTCTTGCTCA